AAATTGTGCTCCAAGTTTTTTTAATGTTGCTCTTTATTTGGGTAAATTTATCTTCATAGTATTTAGTTTTGGCTCGTCTAATTATTTTAGATAGCAATAACGAGTAATTCTTTGAGAATTCTTTGGAGACTGTTCCTAGCCTATACTTCTTCTCAAGGTCGTGTTTTTTGTTAATGGATTTAAGTATTCCCTTTGTAAGCCAAGGATTGTTAAGTCTTTTGCTTGTGACTTGTTTTGTAAGCATAGGACAGTGGGTGTTATAAAGGCTAAGAGTTGTTTGTAGAAAAGATTTCACTGCTAGGTTGATGTCCCCTATGTTACCTAACTCGGACTCCCAGTTGACATTATCAGCAGCAGTTATAAAATTGTTTATAGCAGTTTCATTGTGCAGCCTAAAGCTTAACTCCCTTGTCTCTAGAGGTGGTTTGCTAATGTTAGTTAAGAGAAATGTGGGGTAATGGTCTGTAGTGCTATCGGTGATTATACCTGAAGTAAGCGGAGAGGTTATATTTGTCCAGATGTGATCTAGAGTCGTAGCAGTACTATCAGTGATTCTAGTAGGTCTAGTGATTAAGGGTATGAGGAAGCAGGAATTTATACAGTTGAGGAAGCTAACAGCAGTAGGGTGTTCAGGCTCGCAGAGGTCAATATTAAAGTCCCCTGCGATAATTAGATGGTTTTTGTTCAGTCTGTTATCTAGTATTAGATTTCTAAGGTTTGAGTTGAATTCAGACACATCAGTGTTAGGAATTCTATAGACTGCACCCACAGACAGGACAGACTCGGCACCCTTGACTCTGAAACTGGCGAAGATATACTCCCCACAGCAGTCTCTAGTTCTAATTATTTTTAAGCATGTTAGTTCTTGGTGGCAGTGCCACCACCTCTCTGCATTTGACGACAGTTGTGAATTGCCGAGTAGTTAGGCATGTTAAAGAGTTGAGTATTATCCTCTTTCAACCACGTTTCAGTAAGTATAATAAAAGAGAATTTGTTGTCAATAGTTTCAATCAAGGCACTAACATCATCGAAGTGTTTACCTAGGGATCTAACGTTCAAGTTGATTACAGAGATATTGAGATTATCTGTTAATACATTGTTTACATCATGTGCTGTAAAATATCTGCAATTTTGATCATTGAAGTGATGATTGTCATAGATAGTGGATAAGAGGTTTAGTTCTGGGTCTATACTTGTCTGCATAAAAAGGCTGATTGCAGGAAAACAAGGTAAGAATGGCAAATTACAAAATAGAAAATAAAGAAAAAAGTAGATTAAAAATTCTAAAGTAAAATAAACTTAATGGTAATTTTAAGTAAAAAGAAAAAAAACTTAATGGGAACTAGGAATGTAAAAAATTAACTAGAATAATTAATAACAATAGATGACCAAAAAAGTAAAAAAAACAATTATGAAATCTATAAGATGAAAAGCTTGCTTACTATACTATTATAAGTACACTATAGTTGAATACTAAAGTTACACTAAAACAAACTGAGGTAGTTTAAATAGAGATACACTCAGGAACACTGGATAATGAAGTTAATACTAGAGGACACAGGCAAAGCCAGTGTACTATGGAACATGGGAGTAAAAAGAAAAAAAAGACAATAATAAAGATGACAATATTATTCTTTTTTTTTTTTTTTTTAACTAAAGTTAAAACCTTTTGAAGGGAAAGGCAGAGCTAGAGTACACAAAGGTAGTTATATGAGATTATAATCTGAATTCAGGCTATACAGCAGCTATCCCACAGTCACTGAGGAAAGAATTAAGGTGAGCTTCAGTGGTTATTGAATAGGTTTTTCCAGTGTCAGTCCTCCTAGCTATAATTTTACCATCTCGCACAAAACAGTGTTTAATTGTAGGGGAATTTTTGCAGAAGCCACGCAGTTTAAAAAAGAGATTTTGCCTGCACCTGGTCAGACATTCATTCACATAAACAGTGGATTTACTAGCAACTGCAGATGAGATAAGATCAGTCTTGCGGGAGCAGCTATCTAATTTTAAACGAATTCGCCTATTATTAGTACCAGATGATTTGGTACCCAATCTATAAGCTGCTTTGATGTCATTTTTTTGGATCGAATAATTTAACTTATCCTGCAATACTTTGATCACAATGGCAGCACAGTCTTCACCATCAGTTTCTTGGGGAAAATCACGTGAAGAGATAATTACAGACTCAAGTAGTTTATGTTGGTCTGTCTCGTCTTGGGTAACAGTGTGTTGTTGTTGCAGGTTGTTCAGATGGTTCTCAAACTGTTGCAATATTTCTTCCTGTTTTTTAGTGGTTGCATCTGGATTAAAGTTTGTAACTGTGTTCTTGAGAATGCTTAATTCTTGTTCGAGGTTGACGACTTTGGTAGATAGATCTTGATTGTTCTTGTGTAAGTCTACAACTTCATTCTGCAAAGATAATAATGAGCCTTGCAGGTTCATTATTAAGGCCGACTGCTCTTTGATTACTGTCATTTGATCTTCATGTACTTGAGTTAATAACTTGAGCCAAGGGTTATCAGCAAAGCGCTTGAAGTCAGAACAAGGGGCAGTAGCTCGTTTAAGTTGGTCCATATGGCTACCTAATTGTTGCATGGCCCGTGTCAGAGACGGCGCTGCGCCCAGCTGAGATTGTTTGTTATTGTTGACGGGGGGAGAGTCGGTACCCCCCACGGCGGCCACCGAGGGGGAGATAGCTGAACTAATCATGTTGTTAGCCTGGCTAGTAGGGTTATTCTTGTTAGGTGTGCTATCTTTCTTAAGGGTCTTACCGGCCTTACTTTGCATGATAGCAGGATAAATGTAGGCAGGAACAAAGAGGGAAGACTTGTTGATAGGCAGCAGTGAACGTCGGGTACAGCTTCTTAGCTCCAGGGAGCAACACTAATGAGGTCGAAATGAGAGAATTACGGGTTGGTCTTGTTGGTTTTTTCAATCACATTTAGGTCACTGTGTACTTAGCTGCCTTCGGGTGATGCTACATCATTTGTTGGTAGCCGAGAGCTCAAGGATCAGCTGATAAAAGAGGAGGGAGGGCAGGGCCGACAGGTGTTGTTGACGTTCGTTCGTTCCTCTATTATCTCATCTATTATGTTTAGTATGTCACCTATGCACTTATTTAATAAGTCAATATTGACTTTACGAATTTGCGAGAACGGGTTGCCCCACACTGCCTGTTGAGTCGTTAACTACCCCTACACAGCCTGTTGAGTCGTTAACTACCCCCACACAGCCTGTTGAGTCGTTAACTACCCCCACACAGCCTGTTGAGTCGTTAACTACCCCCACACAGCCTGTCGAGTCGTTAACTACCCCCACACAGCCTGCTGAGTCGGTAACTACCCCCACACAGCCTGTTGAGTCGTTAACTACCCCCACACAGCCTGTTGAGTCGTTAACTACCCCCACACAGCCTGCTGAGTCGGTAACTACCCCCACACAGCCTATTGAGTCGTTAACTACCCCCACACAGCCTGTTGAGTCGGTAACTACCCTCACACAGCCTGCTGAGTCGTTAACTACCCCCACACAGCCTGCTGAGTCGTTAACTACCCCCACACAGCCTGCTGAGTCGGTAACTACCCCCACACAGCCTGCTGAGTCGTTAACTACCCCCACACAGCCTGCTGAGTCGGTAACTACCCCCCACACAGCCTGCTGAGTCGTTAACTACCCCCACACAGCCTGCTGAGTCGTTAACTACCCCCACACAGCCTGCTGAGCTCACATTACCACGTTGATGGACGAAGGTGATGTCAGAGGCAGGAGACGTAGTGAAGGTGGTGAAGGTGACCCGGGAGACCGTTGAACAGGTCAGGTCAGGTCGGTGAAGGTGATGTTTGAAGCCACCTTGAAGCGACCTTGATGCTCTACGCCGTCGCCTCCACCTTCCCTGACCTCGTAGCCACAACCACCTCTCCCGTCTTCATCTACGTGTACAGTGTCATGATATTTCCTGCAGACAATGGGAATGAATATATTACAACAGTATATCGCGTGAGTGATATATTTCATCATGGTAAACATACGTGGATGACTTGTGGGCGCACAGTTGCCACATGTTAAAGGCGTAAATCATTATTGGGAGGATATCACCACCTTGCCGGCTTAGCTAAAGTCACCGTAATGTCGTAGTGTTCGATGGTGTAACTTGTAGATATGTGCGTCTGATGTAGCTTGCGCTATTTCTCATCGGCGTTAAAACGTAGTTTGCGTAAATGTGAGGAGAATCACACCTCCCCAATGGTGGCGTCTGATTGGCTGGTTGCAGGGGTGCGGTTATTGCGTCATATGTCTCACTATTCTCCCAAATTCATATTACCTCATTTACCTACATATAATTTAATTTCTGAAGACACTGACGGTGTCATACGTAATTTATCTAGACTCGGCGAGACTTTATAATTGTATAGTTAAGGTGATATTTAATTGGGAAAGGACAAATGTTTGAATTTGATAATATTTGGCGGGAGTTTCCAGACTCTTGCGTCATTCATTCTTGGCGGGGCGCGGGGTTGTCGACGCGGCATCATCTATTTTATGTTTACTGACAAAACAACAGCCTTGGCACAAAAAATCAAATATATAAAAAAATTATATTATACATAGTAGATTACTTAGCCCATATTTATCGTATATACAAGAGAATGCTAGTGAATAATGGGAGACTTAAGACCGTCTGGTGACCACTGGACACTTGGCGCTAACCTCAACCTCTGACGTCATTTTAACCTCTGATGCCTCCCAAGTCTCTACTTAACAAAATAAGTGATTGCTGTTGAAATTAAGTGCTTGAAGTGCACATATATGGCAGTAATATGTATTGTGGAAGTGGTTGTAAGAGATGGTATCTACGGTGCAGGCTAGAGGTGAGCCGGTCTGCGCACGTAGCCTCGGCTCCAGGATCAATAAGGCTTCGTATATATATCCAGCGAGGCTGGCCGGGTACTCGAGTACCATTTTCTCTCCCGGTCTGGAATAGTCGCTGGAACTGTGCATCAGCTGTGTATTGTGTAGTGTGGCTGCTGCCTGACAGGTGTGGAGTGTGCTCAACTTGGTGTACTGTAGTTGCTTGCTGGCTCTGAGCTTGCCGGGTGGTTCTGTGGCACGTCCTGGCACTCACTTAGGCACTCCTCGAGGATGACAATGGAGGAGAAGACTCCGGCCCTGGAGGACAAGACCTCGCCCACGGAGGACAAGAAGGAGGAGGCCAGCAAGAACGGCGCTCCGGTGCCGGATACGGCCCAGCCGGCCGCCGTGGCCGACACCCCGCCAGCCCCGACCGACACCCTGGTACGTGGTCACTCTCACCCTGTCACCTGACATCCACCCTGCCGCCTGACATCCACCCTGTCACCTGACATCCACCCTGTCACCTGACATCCATCCTGTCACCTGACATCCATCCTGCCACCTGACATCCACCCTGTCACCAGATATCCACCCTGTCACCTGACATCCACCCTGCCGCCTGACATCCACCCTGCCGCCTGACATCCACCCTGTCATTTGACATCCACCCTGCCGCCTGACATCCACCCTGTCACCTGACATCCACCCTGTCACCTGACATCCATCCTGTCACCTGACATCCATCCTGTCACCTGACATCCACCCTGCCGCCTAACATCCACCCTGCCACCTGACATCCACCCTGCCGCCTGACATCCACCCTGCCACCAGACATCCACCCTGCCGCCTGACATCCACCCTGCCACCTGACATCCACCCTGCCACCTGACATCCACCCTGCCGCCTGACATCCACCCTGTCACCAGATATCCACCCTGCCACCTGACATCCATCCTGCCACCTGACATCCACCCTGCCGCCTGACATCCACCCTGTCACCTGACATCCACCCTGCTGCCTGACATCCACCCTGTCACCTGACATCCACCCTGTCACCTGACATCCACCCTGTCACCTGACATCCACCCTGCCGCCTGACATCCACCCTGTCATCTGACATCCACCCTGCCGCCTGACATCCACCCTGTCATCTGACATCCACCCTGCCGCCTGACATCCACCCTGTCACCTGACATCCACCCTGTCACCTGACATCCATCCTGTCACCTGACATCCATCCTGTCACCTGACATCCACCCTGTCACCTGACATCCACCCTGTCACCTGACATCCAGCCTGCCACCTGACATCCACCCTGTCACCTGACATCCATCCTGCCACCTGACATCCACCCTGTCACCTGACATCCACCCTGCCGCCTGACATCCACCCTGCCGCCTGACATCCACCCTGTCACCTGACATCCATACTGCCGCCTGACATCCACCCTGTCATCTGACATCCACCCTGCCGCCTTACATCCACCCTGTCACCTGACATCCACCCTGCCGCCTGACATCTACCCTGTCACCTGACATCCACCCTGCCACCAGACATCCACCCTGTCACCTGACATCCACCCTGCCGCCTGACATCCACCCTGTCACCTGACATCCACCCTGCCGCCTGACATCCACCCTGTCATCTGACATCCACCCTGCCGCCTGACATCCACCTTGCCGCCTGACATCCACCCTGCCGCCTTACACCCACCCTGCCACCTGACATTCACCCTGTCAACTGACATCCACCCTGTCACCTGACATCCACCCTGCCACCTGACATCCACCCTGCCACCTGACATCCACCCTGTCACCTGACATCCACCCTGCCACCTGACATCCACCCTGCCACCTGACATCCACCCTGCCGCCTGACATCCACCCTGTCATCTGACATCCACCCTGCCGCCTTACACCCACCCTGTCACCTGACATCCACCCTGCCGCCTGACATCTACCCTGTCACCTGACATCCACCCTGCCACCTGACATCCACCCTGTCACCTGACATCCACCCTGCCGCCTGACATCCACCCTGTCACCTGACATCCACCCTGCCACCTGACATCCACCCTGCCACCTGACATCCACCCTGTCACCTGACATCCACCCTGCCACCTGACATCCACCCCTGTCACCTGACATCCACCCTGTCACCTGACATCCACCCTGTTACCTGACATCCACCCTGCCACCTGACATCCACCCCTGTCACCTGACATCCACCCCTGTCACCTGACATCCACCCTGTTACCTGACATCCACCCTGTCACCTGACATCCACCCTGCCACCTGACATCCACCCTGCCACCTGACATCCACCCTGTCACCTGACATCCACCCTGCCACCTGACATCCACCCCTGTCACCTGACATCCACCCTGTCACCTGACATCCACCCTGTCACCTGACATCCACCCTGCCACCTGACATCCACCCCTGCCACCTGACATCCACCCTGTCACCAGTTGAGCCAGGGTACTGTAGGGGAGGGCGTCGCTAAGTCAAAGAAAATTCAGCAAGAATTTCTGAAACATATTTTAAAGTTTTACCCAGAAAAGAAAAGACAGACAACCAGGAGGACTCTGCACCTTGGCGTATCTGGTACTTTAACCACTCGACCAACCATGACTGTACAAAAGTCATTGGGAACCGAGGCTATATCCCCAATGACCCGACAGCACTTGGTGGTAAGCTTGGGCATAGATATTTCATCGAATCACCTCACTTTGTGGGGCCACGTGAGCAACACAAATGCGAACAATCATAAATGGGTTCCAAGCCAATATGCAACTGAAAATTCCACACCCCAGAAGGATTCGAACCCAGACAATGAAATAATCATATAATGATTTGATGAAATATTTATGCCCAAGTTGACTATGCCTAAGTAAAAATCGGGCAGAAAATCTTGCAATAGTCACTGAAATTAAGAGAGCTTTGAGGGTACTAATCAACCAGGGAAGAGTCGTCAAGTTTCTGTGGATCCCTTCCCATGTTGGAACATGTGGGAATGAACGAGCAGATGTGCTGGCTGCTGAAGGCGCTGAAGGAGACCATATTGAATACTTCACACCCAAGACAAATTAGAGGTATTATCAGGCAACATCACCGTGACAAGGTAACTGAGGAAAGGAGGATAGAAGCACAAACCAATGAATCTATACGATGGTACAACATGGTTGCAGCTGGCAATCCCAATCATTATGGCCGAAGAGGAGGAGGACGAGGGAGAGAATCAGTAATAGCGAGAATCTGTCTTGGATACAAATATCCACGGAGATTTGGAATGGAAACGACAGTTGATCAGCGAAGTTGCAGAATCTGTGGTGAGAGTGACGGACACCGCCTTGACCACTATCTACGTGAATGTGAACACCTGAGAGACATTAGGAATATGTGTAGAATAATAAACCCCACATTGTTTGAGTTAGGAAAACACTATTTGTCAAATATTGATACTGTTCTTAAAAGATTCCCCCATGCACGGATCCAAATTCATCTGTCGTATCTTTCACTATTTCTTGGTGATTCAGGATAGTGTTGTGGGTGTTGAGAATGCTTAATACCTCTGTCTTGCAAGTGAAGTGTAAGACGTCTGCTCAATATATTCCTCGTATGTCCAATATAGATGCATTTTTATGGGTTATTCATGCCCGTGCCACCTGGCTTAATCTCTTGGGGTGGCTTAATCTTCATCAATAACGTAACCTAACCCACACGTCACCTACCACACCCACACGTCACCTACCACACCCACCGTCACCTACCACACCCACACGTCACCTACCACACCCACACGTCACCTACCACACCCACACGTCACCTACCACACCCACCGTCACCTACCACACCCACACGTCACCTACCACACCCACCGTCACCTACCACACCCACACGTCACCTACCACACCCACCGTCACCTACCACACCCACACGTCACCTACCACACCCACCGTCACCTACCACACCCACACGTCGCCTACCACACTCACACGTCACCTACCACACCCACACGTCACCTACCACACCCACACGTCACCTACCACACCCACACGTCGCCTACCACACTCACACGTCACCTACCACACCCACACGTCACCTACCACACCCACACGTCACCTACCACACCCACACGTCACCTACCACACCCACACGTCACCTACCACACCCACACGTCGCCTACCACACCCACCGTCACCTACCACACCCACACGTCGCCTACCACACTCACACGTCACCTACCACACCCACACGTCACCTACCACACCCAACGTCACCTACCACACCCACACGTCGCCTACCACACCCACACGTCACCAACCACACCCACACGTCACCTACCACACCCACCGTCACCTACCACACCCACACGTCGCCTACCACACCCACACGTCACCTACCACACCCACACGTCACCTCCCACACCCACCGTCGCCTACCACACCCACCGTCACCTCCCACACCCACCGTCGCCTACCACACCCACCGTCACCTCCCACACCCACACGTCACCTCCCACACCCACACGTCGCCTACCACACCCACACTCCACACCCACCACACCCACACTCCACACCTACCACACCCACACTCCACACCTACCACACCCACACTCCACACCTACCACAACCACACTCCACACCTACCACACCCACACTCCACACCCACCACAACCACACTCCACACCTACCACACCCACACTCCACACCTACCACACCCACACTCCACACCCACCACACCCACACTCCACACCCACCACACCCACACTCCACACCCACACCCACCACACCCACACTCCACACCCACCACAACAACACTCCACACCTACCACAACCACACTCCACACCTACCACAACCACACTCCACACCTACCACACCCACACTCCACACCTACCACACCCACACTCCACACCTACAACACCCACACTCCACACCTACCACACCCTCCACAACCACACTCCACACCTACCACAACCACACTCCACACCTACCACACCCACACTCCACACCTACCACACCCATACTCCACACCTACAACACCCACACTCCACACCTACCACACCCTCCACAACCACACTCCACACCTACCACAACCACACTCCACATCTACCACACCCACACTCCACACCTACCACACCCATACTCCACACCTACCACACTCCACACCTACCACAACCACACTCCACACCTACCACACCCACACTCCACACCTACCACACCCACACTCCACACCTACTACAACCACACTCCACACCTACCACACCCACACTACACACCTACCACACCCCACACTCCACACCTACCACACCCACACTCCACACCTACCACACCCACACTCCACACCTACCACACTCCACACCTACCACACTCCACACCTACCACACTCCACACCTACCACACTCCACACCTACCACACCCACACTC